TTCAGGGTATCTCCTAGTCGAGCAGTCTCGACTAGAGTCTTCTTACTTGTTTTTACTTATATTTGGTGTAAAAATATTGATTTTAAAATAAATGGGAAGTGAAATTCAGTTCTGGCTAAAGTCCAGTTTAGAAAGTCATTTAAATTATTTGCATAAATAATTGAAGTCGAATTAAGATATATATCGTTTTAAATAATTCTTTTTTTTTTTTTTGTATATGTGCAACAAGTATAATTAATCTGTCAAAAGAGACATTAAAATAGCCCATCTATCATTCATTAACAGCAATCCGTCAATCATATACTTATTTATTTACCTAGCTAATCAATAGGTCAATAAATCTGTCAGACATACAGAGTTATGTATATACATTACATACAGAATTCTTATCTACCTCGCGCAACGGTCAATTGAGTTTACTTGGAAAATTACAAATGTTTACATATTGATGGAACGTCTGATAAGGATATTTGAAGTGGAGAAATGTAAACGTTAGTTCTTTGCTTTTTAAGACTCTAATCCTTTAGATTAGAAAAGAAGTTCAAATTATCTGTGAAACGTTTCCACGCTATATAAACAGACGCTGATAAACTCTATACACTATCGGCTGGGAAAATAAAAATCAACATCAACAACGCCGCTTTATGTAAGCCCTATCAGATCTTGATAAGATTTCTAGATTATATTAGAAAGTGAAATAGTAACTACAGCTATGACGGATCGATTATCTGGATTATGCATATTTATAATGGGCACATACTCTATGTATATATATACATATATATACATTTATACTTTGTAACTAACCAAAACGAATGCCGAGTCATTCTAGCGAAACTGCTTAAATTATAAGCGCAATTCAATAAATACCAGTTCATGGCAGAATAACGATTTCTTTCTAGTTCTGTACTGTATGACTTAGAAAATTAAGAAAAGGTTTATTTATTAAAAATATTTAAAAATTCAAGTTAGATTGGTTTTATAATTAGATACGATGCGCACTATCTGTACATATTCATATCTATTTATCTATATCTAAAATTTGTTAAATGAGTACAAGGGATTATTATTATTAGGATAGAGAAATTTTCTAAGCTCATCCGCATATTTATTTGCCTCTCTAATCAGTCCATTGAACACTAAATTAGCAAGTTATATTATAAACAATACAAGCATTTATATATTTACTAAAAATGTAGATTTTTAAAAACATTTCTTAGTAGTCAGAAACCACTTAAAATATATACACGTGTACATATACATACTTTAATATATGAACATTTTAATTAATACATATTTTTTGTCAAAATAATAAATATATTAGAGCAATAACTTTAATCGGTTTTTTAATCCATCTCTTTACTTAGAAATGCCAAATCTATTATCTACAGCAATAAATCGATAGCTTATATTTCTGTATGCTCATTAATTTGTTATACTACTTAACTTGATAATTAATTGACCTACTTGACTTAAATATTGCGATACAAACTGATTGATCAAATAACTATATACAATATATACATGTACAGATTTATACATACATTCAAATATCTATATGATAGACTAAACACTTACATCTGATAATTAATGCCGATTATTAACGCCCGATCGCAAACGAACTTGAGCGAGTCGCACACGAATTGAAACTAAAAATGTTTGAATGCCAATGCGTGAGTTTTATACGTAGAATACGACGTGTGCGAGAGGGTCTTGGTCAGTCGAGAGCGGGGTAATTGCGAGAGGTTCGATGCTCGAGGTAGTCGATCTCGGGTCGATCGTCACAGCTCGGGCGACATGGAGGCGCTAAGTGAGACGTGACCAGAGCTAATCGCTGCTAGCGTCGGGCGAGTTAGGCTTCAGCTGGCCGATAAAAAGAATATTATAATAAATTAATTAATAATAATAAATTAATGCTTAAAGTGCCGTCCGTACCTAAGCTGTTTGCATGCTCATTAAGATGCCTGACACACTTCTTCTGCGAATTGAAAGGCGAAAGGAACAAAAATACAATGAATGGTGATAAATTGTGATCGTATAGACGGTAAAAGGTCGTAAAAATAAACTTACTCCTTACGCATACTTCTGTGCATAAAAAGCGAAACATTTTACAGACAAAACGTAGATGCACAGATTATTTACTTCAGATTTGTTGAATATCAAAAAATGTTAACTCAAACATTTTGAAAAGCACGCGCCCTCAACAGCTGTTGCTCACTATAATCGATAACAGCCGTGCGCGCAGCCATCGATAAGAATTGCACGCGAACTTTATAGCACTGTGCCGATTGTCGCACACATGGTACATTTACACGTGCGAATTGCTTGAAGAAGCTTAGGTATAAGAGCAACGTCTGTAAAAAAAGGTATGTGAAATAAAAAACAAATATAACGTCGAACCAGTCGGCCTTGATATATTTAGTATACACAGCTCACAAAAACATTTTACGTCGAAACACTTAGTAATCGAGCTACACAACAAACATTTACATTTACAAACATACATCACCACCAAAAACCAGCACCAGCAGTGAACCAGTTCGTGAACCTGAGCGAAACGCACGAGTTTTCTGAGGTGCTTGAACGTGCATGCACCACTTTGTTGTTCAACAAAGAAGAAAAAGGCAACGCAAAACGTGAACTGTGCACAGTTTTAAAACAATATAAAAACTGATAAAGGTAATTAATATAAAGCATTTTGCCACAATTATCAGCAAGCAATCAACAGCTGGATGTGCAGTAATAGCAACAACATCAACGCAAAATGCGTGAAAGTATCGGACAAAATTTCACAAATTGTGGTAAAAGTGAATTTTTTTTTTTGCATAGAAAATGCCAGAGCAGCAGCAGCAACATCAGCGCAGCAGCACCCAGCCAGTCGCAGTTTAATTGATTATTCAATACGAAATACATGCACACATATGCGCGAGTGCGTGTGAATATATAAATACATACGTGTGTGTGTTTATGTGTCAGCATTTTTACCAACAAAAAACAAGATCATAAAAAATTCATGAAGCTGCAAATTTCTGTACAAACAAATTCGTCAGCAGTAAAACAGAAAAAACCCCAAATTGTGGCGAAAGACGTAGCAGCAAGAAACAGCTGCAAAATTCTCGGAGCTTGTTGCTTTGTTATTATCGTTTACTGATACACCTGTGTGTGTGTGTTTGGGTGTATACATGTACGTGCGTGCTCATGTGTGTTTTTATTTATTTCTCTTTTTCCAGTGTCTTGCACTTTGACCATGGAGTCAACAATTAGTTCCGGCGGCTCAAATGCATCCAGCGAATGCGCCGTCGACGCTGGCGGCGGCGCTGGCTGCAGAAGTCGCTGCCGCAATTTGGATGCAACGCTCTGCGTGGGCAACAATAACAATGGCTTGCTATCGAATAACGGTAATTCGACCCTCAGTCAGGAGGTTAAGGATCTATATCGGTAAAATAATTGGCATATCTAAAGCAAAAGAAACATTTTAATTGTTTACATTTTTTGTACCTTTGTTAGCGCTTTGTATACTGTGTCCAAACAACTGGACGATGCCAAGCGAAATATACAAAATATTGGACAACTGTTCCATCACGATATCGAAGAGAAACGCGCAAATCTTGTGCAGCTGTGCAAACAAATAATATTTAAGGTAAAATATATATGACAAATTAAAGAATGTGTGCCTTAAAATAATTATGATAAATACGGTATATGTATATGTATATGACAAGTCATTTTGGACTTTATAAATTATATAAAATCTCTTTTAATTCGATATTAATCGATAATATGTATCCCCAAAATATATTCCACATACTGAGATATGCCAATGTATATCTCTAATATACCATCGTATTAGATATATTATAGGCATTCATCCAACACACCAATATAAATTGAACCTCTGCGAACTATTTATATTTAATTCAATCTCGTTCCATTCCAGGACTACCAATCGGTGGGCAAAAAGGTACGCGAAGTGATGTGGCGTCGTGGCTATTATGAGTTTATAGCTTTCGTGAAGAAGCATATGCATAAGCAAGGCGCCGATAAGGAGTGTATGCAGAAACTGGAGCGCTTCCTTTGCGCCGGCATTTTCAATTACAAGCGGCTGTCGGCCAAAATGGAGGAGATCTATGACTTGGACTTGAAATACTTGATTGACTTCTCCATTATAAGCGAAGGCTATATCAGCGATTGTATCAGTGATACGGCAGTCAGCAAAGAGCTGGAACCCTCGCAGGCTGCGGTCGATAAGAGTTTGGAGGCAGTCTCCTTTGCCTTGGATACCATACACTCGTCCCTCTTGAGCCTCGGGGATTTGCATCGCTATTTTCTGGACTTTCGCATCGATAGCCAGCTCAGTTTGAGCATCAGCAAGGAGCAGGTGGCCAAGTATTATCTGGAGGCATTCAAGCTGAATCCTGCCATTGGAATGGCCCAAAATCAACTGGGCACTCTGTATTATGGACAGAATTATGATCTAGACTCGACCTATCACTATTTGTACTCGTTGGTGTGCATCATACCCTTCGAGCTGAGCGAGAACAACTTGAACAAGCTCTTCGCCAAGCACACGGAGTATCTGGAGCAAATGAATCCGGCTAAACTGGAATTTAATATCGAGGATTTCTATGCACGCTTCTATCTGATTGTCGACATATTCTTCTTCGACAAGGAGGTACCAGACTTCAATTCCCTTTGCCATTGCGTGCTGATCGACTTGCGCAAGATTCTGTGCGCCCAGCTGCTGCCGGTGCCCGAGCAGAGCATCTTTAAGATCATCTCCATACTGTTCTTCTGCCTGTCCAAGTTGAAGATGATCAACTCACCCAAAGTCTATTCGCTGCACGCCTTCCTCGTGGCCGCCTGCTCCGATCTGATAGACGCCTGTATTGTGAACATTGAACAAACAATTCTGGCACGCGCCGCAGATAATGAGAGTTTCCAGGTGGAATACGAGAAACGTTTCCAGGACTTTGATACAACAGTGCGTAAATCGCGTAATGAATATAAGAACTGGCTGGCCGCCGTCGGTGAGTGTGAGCGCAAGGATAAGAAGCTGATGGCACGACCACACTCCGCCAAGGACTTCAGCTCCGATTCACGGGATAGCCAACATTCGGCAGATGAGGGTTGCGCCAAGACACAAGAGGCACCCGACGCTGACAAACTGGGCGGCACGGAACCCATCTCCACGCGCTCCAGCGACGAGGCCAAGGAGAGTGATCTAAAGACCCCGCTCTCCTGCAAGAGCAAGCGTCGTGGCATGCGGTTGCGTCGACGTCGTCGTAAGATTGCCCAGTCGGACGATAGTTCGTGCTACGACAGCGAGAGCGACATGGACACCGATTTCTACAGTGACGAGGAGGACTACACAGACCTAAGCTCCAACTTCGATACCGATTTCAGTGACATTGATGCCGCCGAGCACGATGAGGCGCCAGGGGGTGAGTAATAATTAGAGAAATATGAGGAGACCTATAGAGTGTGTGATACAGAGCAATCGGACGGACGAACAGTGAGACCGGTTTGTAGAGGAGAGAGCAATAGAAGAGCTTATGGACTAGGTAGATGAACATAAAATAGACGCACAGGCAGATGGAGGGATTAGTGGGCATTTGAAAGGCGGACAAAATGGAAATACCGAGTTGAAGGTATACGACGATTAGGGGAATAGTTAGCTATAAGGTAAGATAACCTTAGAAAGAAATGTTTAGCCATCGCCCATCGAACTGAAGGATGAAGACCTCTGTATGGAAAAAATAATACAGGGGAATTGAATAGGTGACCTGAACGACAGAAAGGTGGACAAATATGTGGACCAGAAGCGGAAAAATGGAAAAACCGATAGGAAGACGGAGCAGAAAGATTGACAGACCTCTGCAAATTCCGTTGAATTTCCCTACTAATAATCTTAAAATGTCCACAGCTGACTATCTTAAAAAGGAGCGTTCTCCTCGTCAAGCCGCCGGTGCGAATGTGTACTCGGACAACGAGGATGTGGTCATTGAGGAGGAGCGTCTTATCTATCCCGATGAAATGGAACGTCGTCCCGTTTCGCAAGAAGTGGATTCCGAGGAGCTGCTGCGCAGCTTCGAAGTGCTGCAATTGAATTTCAAGAGTGCTGAGGACAATCAAGCAGCTGCGGCCGTTGAGCCGGCAGCCAATGTGGGAGGCGAAACTTGTGCACCTCCTCTGACCATTACGGAGCCGCCGAAGAAACTGATCTATCGCAACAAGTATACGAAGATCAATCCGAATATCATAATCGATTGTCTGCACAATGAACCAACAATTCGTGCTTTGAAGATGCTCTTCGACTGGCTGCGCATTAATCCAGAGATTCTGATTGGCTGCTATCACTCGAATCCGGAGTTCGTGCACAAGATAATGAAACTGTTGAACTACTGCAACATTGATATATTCACTCGGAAAGTCTACTTCGAGCGCGACCTCCTGACCACGAGCAATGTGCGCGAGGCACTCGTCGATCTGTTCGATGTGCGCGCGAATGTGCCGCTGAGCGAGGACTTTGCGTTCAAGAACTTTGACATATTCCAGAGCACACAGATAACACTCGACTGGGAGACGATCATTCGGGAGCGTGTCACGCCCCAGGAGGAGTCGATATTGCGTATATTCAAGATGGTTGACTTTGGGTTCTTCATTTGCAAGCAGAAGAAGTTCAATTATCGTTTCTGCGTGAAGACGCGTCGCTTCACCGAGAACCAGAAGAAGAAGCGCGAGGAGAAGAAGGGCGGCGGCTCGCGTCGCCGTGAACGACGAACGGCACCGAAGACAACACGCAAGCGGAACGAGGGACGCACTCGCCGCTATTCGGATCGCAAGAATGGCATCGTGCGCAAGAGCTACACGAGCAACGAGGAGAAGGACACGGTGGAGGAGTGCCGCAAGCTGCCGCGCAAGGGCTATCTGCGCAATCGCAATGCAGAGAAGGCCGCCGCCATACTGGCCAGCGCCACGGGCACCTCCGTGGCAGGTGGCACCTCCGCCTCGGCGTCGACCACCACAAACAGCGTCATCGAGAAGCTGAATGTGCAGTCGAGCAGCGGCGCCGACGAGGAACGCTCCGAGGCGATGACCAAAAAATGTGAAATTATGGGCAAACTCTGGCTGCAGAACGAGGTGGAAACACTGGAGGAGGAGCTGCGTGATAGCACCAGCCATGTGGTCATGTCGCCGTTTGTTGTGGTCGATGCCAAGGCTCTGACCGAGTACAATGGCATTGTCAAGTCCTTGGTAAGGACCAAGAAGTGTATTGTGTTGATACCCAATGCGGGTGAGTGGCCTAAAGTCTTAAATTTACAACAAACAACAACTCATCTTATTCTTTGTATTTTCTTTTCCAGTGTTGAACGAACTGGATGAGCTGAAGAAGCGCAGCGAGAATGTGCGTCATGTCATACGCTGGCTGGAGCAGGAGTTCAAGCACGGCAATCGTCATCTGCGCGCACAGCGCGACAATGAAAGCCAGCCGCTTTCACTGATCAAGATATCACGCAAGATAGGTTAGTCATATGTAAATTTGATATTCACAATCCAATACTAATAGCTGGCAATTTCCATATATAGATCGCGATGCATCGGTTTTCATGCAGATCGCCCAGTTTTGCAATCACCTGGTGACCAATCATGCCGATCCGCATGTGAGTGAGCTGCAGAAGAACGTCGTCACCTATCTATCCGGGGATAATTTGCACGAGAAGAATCGCCAGCAGCAGAACTTTAGCTATACGGGCATACTTGATTCGATTCCCGTGCGCTATGCGCAGATCCAAAGCTTCTATACAAAGTTCAAGGCTAACAAAAAATGAGTGAGCCGGAGCGGACGCTAGGTGGCAAATGCATGGCAAAAAACAGCAAATGCAAATTAATTAAAATGCAAGGATGTGCATAGCGTGTGTTCACTGTACAACCACAAAAAAACGACATGGAGTTCCAAGTTTACGAAATGTTTCTCTCTCAGACGCGGCCCAAGTGGGGGCAACAAAAAAACGGCAAGCAAACCAGACCAGCAGAAAAAATAATATGATAACAAAACGAAAAGTCAATCAAACAAAAAAAAAAAAATCATAAAAAAAATATCCAGCAGCAGCGGCAACGGCAGCAGCAGGTGGTTAGCTTCTTCGTTGATTGTTGTTTGTTGTTTGCAGTTGTTGTTGTTGTTCATCTTGTTGTTTCTTTAAAAGTAATTCAAACCAGCAGCAGCAGCAGCATCAGCAGTAGCAGCAGCAGCAGCATCATCAATGTCGCAACAGCAGTAGCAACATCATCTAGAGCTGCAGCAGCAACAACAACAACAACAGCTGCAACAACCATTGCACAATGGGATCCCGTAGCTCAGCAGCGGCAGCATTTTCGTGGAGTTTGCTTGTTGTTTTAGACAGAAAACCAGAAAACTGAAAAATGTAAAATGCAAAAAAAAAAAAAACAAACTTAAATGAGATCAAGAAATTATAAATCGTTCACTTTCAACTCAAACGGCAACGACCCTCAACAAAATGGATAAAAAAAAAAATTAAATGCAAAAAAAAAAAAAAAAATCCAGAAAAAAACATATTGAAATTGTTCATGATTCAAGTTTAACCCATTCAAGAAGATTAGGCATGAGAAAACAAATTTAAGAACTCCTCCAGAGTTTAGCCCAAAAAAAGGTGATTTCGGATGCTTGCACGGAGCCTCGTTTCAAATGGAGAGCATCGTATGTATCTCCCTCGATTTAGCGTATGATAGATCGCGCTTTTAATTGTGAATTCCCCCAACTAACGCCCTCCTCCCCCTTGCAAAACCAAAGGCAACTATATATACTCACCAAGGTATATATAAATATATTTCTGCATGGCAATGCATATTTAGTATTTTGAAGCTATGGTCAATTGAAGGTGACCTGCACTCATGCGCACAGGAACCTTTGTTAGTCTGTTTGAATCCTTTTTCAAGTTCACACACCGTTCCCTTCTTTTTCACAATGGAGTATTCAGTTGTCACCCAAGCCTATCCCAAGTAAAATTTATATAACAAGCATATATAACGAATAATCTTTAAAATTGATAACAAACATAAATTCAATTGTCGGACAAACGTGAGTAAACTACATAGTAAATAAAATATGGGAAAGTATTAAAAACTATTTGCCACTTACACGTATTTCAAACAAATTTCGAATATACTTTAAAATATGTCACGAAATAATTAAAACTATGTATCTTTCTGTTTTAAATGAAATAAAGATTCCGACAAGCAAACAACATATTTTTTATTGATTATATGAGTATGAAAAATGTGATTATGATTATGATTATGCGTGATGAGTGCTCTTCAAAAAATTATATTTGTAGCTGTTGAAAATTGAAAAATGTATTTGTCCAAATAATATGCTACTAACTCCCATTTATTTCTGGTGAAGTAGTTTTAATTGCTAAAATATTTTATAATGATTCAACTTGATCTAATTTACTGCAGCTAAATTTATGATGTGGTATATTGTTGGAGTTTAAGAACAGAAATAGAAATAATATAAACTGTAGACAGTTGCCAAATTGATCAAAATAAACAGTGTAGTCAATCTATAGCAAGGGTATTTTATCGCAAGGGTATTTTATGCTCAGAAGCTTCCAGCAAGAGCACATCTTGATTGACTTACACGAATTCAATTTATAGTCGGTCTCCTTATCACGTTTCCACCCAGCTACAAAAAATTTCTTTACTTATTTTATAAAAAGAAACGAATTATACAAATTTTCATCAATTTTTATATTTTTATTAAATGTTTTTTGCTGTGGTTTTCCGGTTATTTTGTATTTTTGTGGCTGTTGCATTTTGCATCCAATTATATTGAGTTTTGTCACGACTTGTTGTGTTTTATGTTATTTGCTTTTGTTTTCTTTTTTTTTAGCATGTGGTACAAATAGCGTACACAATAAAGAGGGGGTGTATACATATATGTATATATATATATATTATAGAATTTAATAACTATATATAATTGGTTTGAAATACTTTCAAGTTTGCTCGCTACATCATACAGTTGATATATATTATATATCATATATAATTTGTCATTTCATTCTAACTGCTCCGATTTCTAATACAATACGCTCATTTTGAATTGGAATTTTGTTATCAAAGTCATAGAGTTTTCCTTTGGGTTGCATAAACTACAAGTTACGTGTTGCGTGTTTTAACCGATTATCAAGCAATGTCAACTTTGTATATATATATTGAATTTTATTTATGTATAGATATATAGTGTTAGAAGTTGTTTTTGGCTTTAGTCTTAGATTCACTATGTTCATACGTATGTATACATATATATATTTTTGTTGTTGTTTCTTATTCATCAGCTATTTTTAGGCGTATTATATAGAGAATACTCTTTCTCTTTCCCATTCTCATTCTCTAATATTCTTTTAATTAAAAAGCAAATTATATTAATTACTTAAATTGTTGTTTTGCAAACGACATTTGTAAAAAAAAAAACCTGCACACAGTTTAAAAACAATAATAATAATAATTTATAATAATAATGAATAAAAATAATAGTTATAGTAATACGCAAAATAATAAATTAATTAATCAATTAAAAAACTTGAGATTTACAACAAGACTGTACAGATTTTTTGTGCCTATAATTAAGCGTACTTAAGAATCGAAACAAAACTACAATTAATCGTAAATTAAAACGATTTTATCCTTTACATGAATTTAAATTCAAATCTGGCCGAAGGAAAAATAATTCATTTGCACATTTCAATTTTAGTTTAGTTTAAAATAGTAAAACCTAATGCCCGATTATATTTGCTATACACAGAGAGAAATTTACGCACACTTTTACAACTAATCGCTAAACAGACTAAACAGATATTTTATGCATTTTACAATTAACACAAAAACAACTTGAATTTTGTTTAGCTTATGAAATTCAACTATTCATCATTTTTTTGTTTTTCTTGTTTTTAGATAACGCCCGATACGGACTTCTCGTAGGGCGTTGCCAGGGTATCGCGTCGTCGGGGCAAAGTGCCGCTGGCCGTGAGTGGCGCCGATTCGGGACAGCCCAGGCCCACCAGCAGCTCCACCAATGCCGTCGTATCCTCCACATTGTACTGTGGTGCGGGTATGCCACCATTGGCGGTTGGCGCTGGTGCGGGTGCGGGAGCCGGTGTGCCTGCGGCCAGGGCGGCGGCGGCCTTCATCGACTTGGCCGTGGCCAGGGATTGGGCGGCGCGTGCATAGGCCAAGCAGGTGCGACCCTCATGATCCGTGTGCTTGATATTCGCACCGTTCTGTGGGTAGACAAAAGTACGCATGAGTCTTTGATAGCTGGAGTCAGGCGATTCCTCAGCTAACTTACCCAGATGAGCAGCTGGGCGATGGCCAAGTTGCCAATGGCACAGGCTAGCAGGAGAGGCGTGCGAACGTCGCGTGCGCTCACATTGGCATTGGTCACCTCCGACTGGCAATTGGCCAGGATCCACACGATCGACTTGATGTCCGCTCGGATGACCGCTTCGATCAGCTGTTGGCCCGGCGAGGCGGCATTCACATGATTGCCGGTGCCGAGCGGCGTCAAGAACTCCTTGGCCTCGTATTTGCTGCGTATCCAGCGCTCCTTCTCCTCGTGGCCGGCCAGCGAGGTGGGCTTCACACGCTGTCGCGTATTCGCCTCCCACACCGAGTTGGCCAAGCTGTTGCCGATGGCTAGCATTACGCTCAAATGCGGCGCTCTAATGGGACACAAAAAGGGCGTGGCATTAGTTAAAGTTTAATTGTGAGGGATTTACTGTTTTCTACTTACGGCCAATCGTCGAGGCCCAGGGAGCGCACCTTGGAGATGTGCGAGCCGAGATTGCGATGGATGCCCGAGCACTCAATGCACATAAGCACGCCCAGATTGAGACTAGCCCATTCGGGATCTGTGTGGGGTAAGTGAAAAGTTAATGGTTAATATATATTTTAGAGTAATTTAATGCTAAATCTATTTGACTTTCCCATGGAGAGTCTACCTCTACCCCTGAATCGCTTCCCCCACTTACTTGGCGCTCCACAGTCCACGCAGTGTCCATTGCCCGGCACGCGTTGCCGGATCGCCACCATGGCCGCTAGCTCCGTGCTGGTTGCCTGTTTCGTTTTGCTGCTCTCGATGCTCTGCAGGCTCTTGAAGATCTCTTGCTCGACGGCCGCGACCCACTCGTCGCGCTCCTCCGAGTTGGCGGCTTCGAAATGCCATTGCTTGGAGTCGAGCGAGACAATGTAGAACTCGTAGCCATCGTTGTCGTCCGCCTCGTTCGCCTTGACGCTGCTGCTCTTCATGCGCCGGTGGCGCTTCTTCACATTTGGCGTCTGGGCTTCCAGTTTGCTGGCCTGCGCTTCGCCCGCTATGAAAGTCTGTGAGTTCGAATTGGACATGGCAATGCCCTCGTCGCCGCTCGTCTGCTGTGAGCTATTCGATTTCAGAGGCTCCACGCCGCTGGAGCCGCTCGCCCCGCCCGCCGCTCCTGCGCCCAGCAGCGACAGCTTCTCGCTCAGCTTGCGCTGATTGTCCTTGGCCAGCGTCAGGCAGCCGATGCCCTCGCTGAGCGTGCCCTGCGCCCGCTGCCCATTGGCCAGCAGGGAGCTGGTCAGCGCGCTGTTCGTGATGATGGACTTGGAGCCGCGCGGCTTCTGGCCGGGCACCTTGACCGTCACGTACTGCAGCGGTATCTCCTTGCCGTGCACATCGTCCATGTAGTCGTGCAGCGAGGGATGATAGGTCAGTCGCCCATCGTCGCAGAGCGTCACATACTTCTTCTTCCACTCCTTGTTCAAGGACTTGCTGGAACGTTTGTACAGATAGCCCTGCTTGATGGGTATCGAGCGGCCGCTGCCCAGTTCGCTGCTCTTTGGCTCCTTGTCGTTCTTCTTGGAGGACGAGGGTATGAACAGATTTGAGCGCCGTCGACTTTTCCGGCTTGTCGTGGGCGTCGATGTGGGCGTGGGCAGCTCCTTGCCCGGCGGCGGTGCCAGATCCCGTGGATCACGCAGTTGCACCTGGGCACAGTCGCTGGGCAGCGACAATTGCTGATGCTGCAGATGTTGTTGCTGCTGTTGTTGCTGCTGCTGCTGTTGTTGTTGTTGTTGTTGCGCTGCGCTTGAATTGTATTTGGTTATGTTGTTGTTCTCAGTGGTGGAGCCGCTCGCCTGCAGCGACCAGAGCTTCTGCTCCGCCTGCGCAAAGTCGGCGCTCATGCGCAACGGCAGCTGCTGCTGCTGCGCCCGCTGCCCGTTGGTGGGCGCCTGGAACGCGGCCAGCCCCAGCCGTGTGCCCTGCGGTGTGGTGGGGCGTGGCGGCTGCATGGCCGCCGGCAGCGGCATGCGCTGTGACAGTATCTTCTGGCAGGCTGCGCGAAAGGGAAAAAACATGAATTCAATCATTATTAAATCGAATAATTAACATTCGTTCGCTACTCACCATCCTGAAAGACGCGCTCCACATTCAGGCCGTAGGTGGCGCAGGTCTCGTAGTACGAGCAACGCTTCAGGTCGCTCGCCAATTTTCTAGCGCGCGTGTCATCGATAACTCGCGGATTGCGCTCGCTGATGGCATCTGAAAAGAGAACACTTTGATTAGCGAATGACCAAATGTATTTCAGCTTAAAAACAAATTCAATCTATTCAATAAACCACTTTAGCAATACATTGCAGTAT